CTTGTCTCCCACTTGTCTCCCAGTAAGCTCTGGATGCTCTGAGTGCTTTGACCGCATGATTTCACACTTGTCTGCCATTTGTCTTGCATTTGTTTCCCACTTGTCTCCCAGTAAGCTCTGGATGCTCTGAGTGCTCTGGCCGCATGATTTCACACTTGTCTCCCACTTGTCTCCCAGTACGCTCTGGATGCTCTGAGTGCTCTGGCCGCATGATTTTATACTTGTCTCCCATTTGTCTCCCAGTAAGCTCTGGATGCTCTGAGTGCTCTGGCCGCATGATTTCACACTTGTCTCCCACATGTCTCGACTTGGCTCCCAGTAAGCTCACTTGTCTTCCACTTGTTTCCCATGGCCTGTCTGGATGCTTTGTATCCCCGCCCTTGGCTGGATGCTGGGCCGATTAACTTTTTGATGCGCACAAGGTCGTTGCTCTGTTGTATCTCTGGTGTTTCGAGTTTGAAAGCTGCATTGGCTGCACTGGGCCGTCGATGAGTTTGCCGGCTCAGATCATGAATGACGCATGGTTTAGTGTTGCAGTTTGCCAAAGGGGCAGCTCGCCATCTTGCGACATGTTATCAGACAAGCTTTGTTACTGATTGCTTTTCGCGAGTGTTGCAACATGCGGAAAGCGCGAAAAGCTCCATCTCAATGGCTGCCCGTCTGGAAGTGCCAGTTTCAGAAGGAGAATCCTAAGAAGGCAGGCCATCATGAGAGCTTGGTTTTGGATCCAACAGCATGGATATATTTATAAATATTATTTTAAAGTATGTATGTATGTATGTATGTATGTGTGTATGTATGTATGTATGTATGTATGTATGTATGTATGTATGTATGTATGTATGTATGTATGTATGTATGTATGTATGTATGTATGTATGTATGTATTATATATATATATTTGTAGCATATGCAGATGTATGTTTACATATATATAAATGGTATGTAAAATGCGGTCTATATATACATATGTATGTTTTAAGGTCTTTGAGTATGCAAATATGTTCTGTGTCATGGCAAGCGGCAGGCACATTCTCTTGCTTGGCACCGCTTTACAAGTTATGCTGCGGCTGTGACTATTGGAGAAGCTTTTTGCGGCGGAGCCAATCACAGGGACTTGGATTTTGATTATCAACGAGGCTATATGACGTGTCCTAAAGCAGATGAGCAGATTAAAGCTGATTTGGAGGAGCAGGTTGGGGTTGCTGGGAGGGAGGCTTTGATCTATGGATTGATTTTTGTTATGGCTGCTATGTTTTTGTATTTTTGAGCTTTGCAAGTGGCGCTATTCGGTGAGCGCATTGGAGGAAAGTCTTGTTGAAGCTCACGTGCCTGAAGCTCCAGATCACGACGAAAAACCGGCAGAGAAGGCATTGTTGCTTTAGTGGTGTGCCATCCAATTAAAGCTTTGCTTTGCTTTGAGATATGAATGAACATGTAAGCATGCGTGTTCTTTTGCCAGGGTTTGGTGGCAATTCATGTGAATGAGGATGATTTGCCGGCTGTGGCAGTTTGTGATCGATTCTTGTTGGAGACTATGGTCAATGGAAAGACAGATGCAGTTGAGAAAAGTTTGCCGAATAACGATATCACCTTTGTTGTTAGCAAGGGCGTTCAGACCGATATCACAGAGCTTGGGGCTTTGTCCTGCACTTCTGCTTGCGCTGGGGGTCACTCTCAGTGATGGATGGTTGATTGTAACGATGTCAACATTTTGGTTGCAGTCACGCGGCATGTGACACGATGAAAAGCGGAATCCATACTGTGTGACCCTTTTTGGCGCCTGACTGCCCTGACTCTGAAGAGTCGTTGTGGCAGATGGCCTGCTGCGGGTTCATGAGGGTTGCGTGATGGTAGCCAAAAAGAAGATGTTTTTACTGACTTGCGAAAGCCAGCATGTTTGAATGCTTTTTTGCCGTTGCGGCGCTTGTCAAACACTGTTCGCAGCAGAGCAATGCCATTGCGTAACCATGTGTTCAGGATCGAGGAGAGTTTGTTCGTTTTTTTTAAAATATTTGTATTTGTATTTTACATATCTTTTCGGGATGCTGAAGTGAGCAGCCATTAGCATTGTTTGCAAGAGTCGTGCGGTTTTTGTTTTTGCTTCAAGAATTCGATTTGTTGATCAAGGATTTCTTTTTGCCAGATTGGGTGTAAACAACACTTTCGATCTTTTAAGGGGGGGCAGGGCAGCGCCAAAAATTTTTTTCAACTGCACTGACAACATTCAAACGACATACCAGGGGAATGATCACAAGGGTTCACCGTAATGTTCTTGCGTCGCAACACGATTCCACAGGAAACGGGCGTTGTGACGAGTAAAAAATCCGTAGAAGTGCGGCTTCAAGTATGGCTATGCTGTGCCGCGAATTGATTTTGCGTTTTGATTTGCAAATGTTATTCCTTGTCACAGCCTTTGTTTTATGTTCGGAGTGGGTGCATGTAGACACGATCATTGCGTTGGACGTGATAGGCACGACGGCTGAACGATGTATTGCGGAAAATGCCGCGACGCAAAAGCTTGTCAGTCAAAGTCAAGAAGGTTGCAACGGCTTGCTCTCCAACATCAGTGCTGCAACCTGCCGCAAGCGACCGCCTTTGCACGCTGGAGCAAGTGACCGCTCGTGACCCCACCGCAAATGCGCTGCAAGTGAATCCAGCAAGTAACCGCCGCTGCCCGCTGGAGCAAGTGACCGCGCGTGACCCCACCACAAGTGCGCCGCAAGTGGCCGCAAGTGACTCCAGCAAGCAACCGCCACTGCCTGCTGGAGCAAGTGACCGGACGTGACCCCACCGCAAATGCGCTGCAAGTGAATCCAGCAAGTAACCGCCACTGCCCGCTGGAGCAAGTGACCGCACGTGACCCCACCGC